ATAAGGATAGTTGCCCAACTTAATAATGATACAGATTGGTGTTAAAGCAGAGAGCTCCTCGCATGGGGAGCGATGGTAAGTTGCTCAACTTTGGTGTTTCCTTCTGGTTTGTAGTTGATGTGGCTTCAAATGAGTTGAGCAAACACGATGGTTGAGCAAGATACTTGATTAACATCATAGATTGTAACCAAGTAGTCATGAATATAGCAAGATTCGACCTAGTGAATACCTATGTGGAAAAATCCAAATGGCTGTTTCCTCAGAAAATGGGGCAGCCTAGATTCTGAAGAACATTGGGAATTCTCCAAATCTATTCTACAGTGAGCAGAATTTCTTGGATAAGCAAATTCTTTTAGCTTTTATGTTGACAAGTATTTATTCTAGGCGTGGGACCCACAGAACATATATAATAATATTATCTATGTCAATATATAAATGGTGATAACACTTCAGCGTTAACATACTTCTAAACTATCATTCCCAAATGCGAATCAATTTGTTTAGCCTAATCAATTCTCTCAAAATCAGTGCTACCAATACCTAAATAAACATTCCCTGAGTGGGTAAGGGGTCATTGCCAAGAAATTTGGTTGAGAGATCTTGCTTTTAGTTGTGATTTGAAGATTTAGAGTACTAATAGAGGATCTTTGGATGGGTTTCTGGGTATTACAGTGATGTGAACTGGAGACCAGCTTGGGAGCTGCGGCAACCAATGATGAGAAAGGCTAAAGACATTTGAATCTTCTCAGTGCTTGAAATGTTCATGGTCAGCATTGAAAGGTTTTCTTAGTCAAGTGGAGTACTAGTTGCCAGAGATGCTTGTAGAAGGAGATGGGAAGAGCTTTCTTATCTTGGTGTTTTTCCTTTCTGTTTGTAAATTTGCTACTTGAAACAAGAGCTTGCAGCATAAGTGAGAGGATTGAAAGGAACGTTGTATGCTGCCTTTCTATTTTATTACCCAAACCAAAGGGTATTGCGTCTTTATGGTATTAATAATTAACAATACAGCAGCAGACAACAGTAGGATAGAGGATAGTGAAATGACCTCTATATTAAACATTTTAATAAAAACTAAAATTTAGACTACACATATAAGTCACAGTTTACCAAGACGATCACTTTCCATCTAGGAACATGTAATTTAGTCAAAAGAATGAAATATGACAAACGAAAAGGAACACCACAAATTAAATTAATATGAGAAGAATGTGAACTGGGAAGTTTAGAGAAATAAGATAGATCAGAACAATGGAAAAAAAATGTTATATACAGTGTAAATGAGCAGAGGTAATTTTCGTGGAATGGCCAAGGAAGAGGCTTTCAAATCCGATGTTTGTTTCTGAAGCAAAACACCAGAAAATAGGGGAGAAATCACAATTCACCCCAGAACCCTTAAACAAATATTACTATAGTGGTAAAAATGGGGTTTTAAGAACCATCAAGGTGACGCTACTATAGCCTAAAAAGACCATTATTTTAGCCACTATGAGCACTACTGAAAACGGCTCCACACCATTATTTGAATCACATAGAAGTCTAGGGCTGCTCCACTGCACTACTCCTCCACAGTGCTACTGCAACTATAGCACAATCTTGACTACTTAGTAAATAAATATTCTGGTCAAAGATAGTCTTCTATAGTACATTTTTGGACGTTGATTATTGATAAAAACAAAAAAATATTTGCAGCCCTACCTTCTCTTTTGTCCCAGACATGATCCTTGAGATCCCAATTGTTTCTCAGCAGTTTTAATGTAATTCAAATCTGAATTTCCATTAAGATCAAAATTGGTTCTCCTGGAAATACTCAATTTTCTGTTATAATAAAAGACAAATACCAAATATATTGCTCGAAACTTTTCAAAATATTATTCAAAACAATTATGACAAACTCAAATCCCAACCAGATTGTGTTAAACAGTGACTATAAAATCACAATCCGAAACTGATAATCACCTGAAAGTTCATCAAAATGCCATCAAAGTATCCCATCACTACCGAAGGTCTTAAGTAAGCCTAGCCCACAATATGTGATTGTTCCCTAGAAGTATTAAAGGAACTAGGTTGCACCTTTCAATGAATATTAAAGGAATCTTCCAAAGAAGAAACATGAAGCTGTATCAACAAGACAGGGTTACAATCTTCAAGCATGTCCACACCAAATGGACAATTTAGAAACACAAGAATCAAGTCCGTTTGATCAAATTATATAGCTAAAATTTGTATTTTCCAAAATCTATTTCAAAAATAACTATCCCCGTATTGCTCTAACACTATGTAAATGAATTCAATTTCGTACACACACACAATAAACAACTAGAAAAATATAATTATTGACAATGCTATGCTGTATGCTTACATTGGACGCCTCTCCAATAGCGGAACCAGCAACTTTCACACCCTCAGTACAAAAATACTTTCTTGGAATTTTGAGGGCGCAGACGCTTGAAATAGTCTTCTTCATCACCCTATTACATCAGCTACAGAGTCAAAGCCCAAAACGGAAGCTCAAATAGGAAGATAGAAAACCACAATTAACACTATAAACCACATTCCCATGCTAGCAAACGAAGAAACAAGAGTGATTGAAAATATTCGAAAAAAAAACATTCATACCTGTTCATTGTGTGAAAAGAGAAATGGTGGAATACAAGAAGAAGGAAGAACACAGGGTTTGATATTTTCGGAACTGGATTTCAAACCATGGGAGGGGCTATGCGAACTGCTTTCGAATTGAACCCACGTCGATACACTGTAAAATCGCGTTAAAGTACGCGTTGCTGCAAATGAAACGTGATTTTGCTTTTCTTTTTTCTTTGTTAAGAACTTGGAGTTAAATTCACGCTTCATCTCTCACTAATCTTCTTTCGACGAATTTTGTTACCTTTTTCTTTTTACAATTTATTATAAATTTTAACATCATGTTATCTATCTGTTAAATTTCTATCTAACAATGATTTTGTCGAAAAAAGAATGAAAAAAACAGCATTATTTTATTACCAATTTTTTGTAAAATAATATTGTATTAATCTTATTTTATTCTTATTTATTTTCTTACCACTTCATTAGAAATTTAATAATGGGTTAAATATGTTTTTCGTCCCTTAAGTATCACACGATTTTGGTTTTAGTCCCTACTCGAAACTTTAATGGTTTTTAGTCCTCGTAGTTTTGAAACTATTACTATTAGTCCTTAAAAATGGACGGCGTTAAGTTTTAGTAGATGTGACAAATGGCGATGCCAGGTTTGATGCCAGCTGCGCTCTACACTCTCTGCCACGTTGCTGGCCAATAAGAATCTCACACTCACGTGGCCATTCTCAGACTGCCGACGACGACGACGGCAAAGATCTAGGTTTTCGCTACACTGCTCCCCCGCCTCTATCTCTCTGCAGGAACTCTACTAAGTCCACTGCAACTCTCAGATCGCCATCTCCTGCCGCGGTCTGATTCTTCCCATTCCACTCCACATTTATCCCATCCATCATTAACTGACTTCGCCGTTGTTTGCAGTGGTGTTTGTAGTTTTTTTTTTTTTGGTATAGGTTGTTTGTAGAGTTTATTGGAGGATTCCACAGCCCCACTCTTATATTCCTTATGGAGCTCTAGCACAAGACTCTACAACGGGTTATTCTTCTTCCTACTTCCATCTCGCTTTTTATATCACTTTCTGCTGCTTCATTCACTTTTTCTCTACTTCAGCTGACAACTCCGAGAAGTTTCTCGAAGCTTCGAAGAAGGGGAACGTTATTCCTCTATACCGTTGCATATTCTCATATCACCTCACTTCAGTGCTAGCTTACCGGTGTCTCGTTAAGGAGGACGAGAGAAATGCTCCTAGTTTTCTATTTGAATCGGTGGAGCTCGGCCAATTTTCTATCATTGTGAGAACGCATTTTTTTTTTAATTTTATTTCAGCTTTTTTAGTAAATTACACTGATAGTTCTGAAGTTTTGTGAGGTTTTGCAACATCGAAACATTTTTGTTGTGTTTTTAAAGGTTTTAATTAACATCCGATGAAAGGTATATTGTGTGATGCTTTTCAAATGAGATTGAAGAAGTTGAGAGTTTTGTGTAATTTACTCTTAAATTTGTCTCTGAATTTGTTGAACTGTGTGCTTAGTCTGTGTTGCTATTGATTAGGGGCGATACAGTGTGGTGGGAGCACAGCCGTGTATGGAGATTGTGGTGAAAGAGAATGTGGTTACTATTATGGACCACATGGAAGGGCGCAAGAGTGAGGAAATTGCAGAGGATCCACTGGTAATTCCTCGAAGGATCATGGAGAAGTGGAGGTCACGTGAGTGTTAGTTTCTTATTGGCCAGCAACGTGGGAGAGAGTGCAGAACGCATCTGGCATCAAACTTGGCATCGTCGTTTGCCACATCTACTAAAACTTAACGCCGTCCATTTTTAAGGACTAATAGTAATAGTTTCAAAACTACGAGGACTAAAAACCATCAAAGTTTTGAGTAGGGACTAAAACTAAAATCATGTGATACTTGAGGACGAAAAACATATTTAACNCCGGTCACAATTCAACAAATGTCTAACTAACTAACTGATACAACAAAGAGGTCCTTATATAGGCCTCTTTCCCAAACCCACTTAACTGACTAGCAGTTAAGTTCTCTGTTTCTCCTTTCTTCTCTCATATACCCTCCATTCTCTAACACACTAGCAAGTCAAGTTGTGCATCCTTTTGTGTGTCAAAAGGAAGTGTTTGTCATCTCTTGTTTGTCAAGTGAGGTTATCCCTAAACCTCTTTCTTTACTCTATTTTGTAAGTTGTTGGTTATTATTAGTTATTGGTTAATCCTTCTTTTTAAAGAGATTAACAAGTAGACGTATGATCTTTTGATCTAAACCAGTATAAGAATCACTTGTACAAGCTTCTCTTTCATCATACTCTTTTATTTACTTGCTTTAATATGAAGTGATTTTTTGTAGCGTGAAGTTAATTTTTCTTTCAAAAAGGGAAGATTTTCTAAAAAGTTATGGTTAATGTAAAACCAATTCACCTGCTCCTAGTTATTGTCCGATAACAAAACACTCGACTGCATATTTCTAACAGAATCTACAAAAAACATGACTTAGACACACCCATCTCCATGCAGATTACCCACCTAAGAAACAAGCAAGAGCCATGCCAACCATCCCTCCTCCAACAATAGCAATATCATACTGTGGAATAATTTTGCTAACAGTGTGCTTCTTCTCATGCTCCTGCAAAATTTCAAGAATATGAATAGGGCATTTTCATTTGATATTCCATAGTGTAAATGATTATCTTTCAATATAAACTAATATAGTAATGTGAAAATGCATAAAGGTATGAGTCCGGGATATGTGATGATAATTGACAAAGATTACAAAGAAATTGAGGACTGAGTAATCACAGTCATTACTTTAATCAATGTAACAAGAATAAACTACTAGAAGTAAAACTTAAGGTAAAAGATCTAAATTAAAGATATAATGCTACTCATCTACAATCCTCCTCAACTTAATAAAAGAAAAGAATCATGTCACAATTTCTCCTTTGATGCGATTGATTTAGCCAAAGAGCTTGTTGTTCAAGGAAGAAAGGACAAGTTGCCCAACAAAAAACTGATTCCAGTCTGAGTTAATTCATAGAGTTTATGGATCACATGAATAAGGATAGTTGCCCAACTTAATAATGATACAGATTGGTGTTAAAGCAGAGAGCTCCTCGCATGGGGAGCGATGGTAAGTTGCTCAACTTTGGTGTTTCCTTCTGGTTTGTAGTTGATGTGGCTTCAAATGAGTTGAGCAAACACGATGGTTGAGCAAGATACTTGATTAACATCATAGATTGTAACCAAGTAGTCATGAATATAGCAAGATTCGACCTAGTGAATACCTATGTGGAAAAATCCAAATGGCTGTTTCCTCAGAAAATGGGGCAGCCTAGATTCTGAAGAACATTGGGAATTCTCCAAATCTATTCTACAGTGAGCAGAATTTCTTGGATAAGCAAATTCTTTTAGCTTTTATGTTGACAAGTATTTATTCTAGGCGTGGGACCCACAGAACATATATAATAATATTATCTATGTCAATATATAAATGGTGATAACACTTCAGCGTTAACATACTTCTAAACTATCATTCCCAAATGCGAATCAATTTGTTTAGCCTAATCAATTCTCTCAAAATCAGTGCTACCAATACCTAAATAAACATTCCCTGAGTGGGTAAGGGGTCATTGCCAAGAAATTTGGTTGAGAGATCTTGCTTTTAGTTGTGATTTGAAGATTTAGAGTACTAATAGAGGATCTTTGGATGGGTTTCTGGGTATTACAGTGATGTGAACTGGAGACCAGCTTGGGAGCTGCGGCAACCAATGATGAGAAAGGCTAAAGACATTTGAATCTTCTCAGTGCTTGAAATGTTCATGGTCAGCATTGAAAGGTTTTCTTAGTCAAGTGGAGTACTAGTTGCCAGAGATGCTTGTAGAAGGAGATGGGAAGAGCTTTCTTATCTTGGTGTTTTTCCTTTCTGTTTGTAAATTTGCTACTTGAAACAAGAGCTTGCAGCATAAGTGAGAGGATTGAAAGGAACGTTGTATGCTGCCTTTCTATTTTATTACCCAAACCAAAGGGTATTGCGTCTTTATGGTATTAATAATTAACAATACAGCAGCAGACAACAGTAGGATAGAGGATAGTGAAATGACCTCTATATTAAACATTTTAATAAAAACTAAAATTTAGACTACACATATAAGTCACAGTTTACCAAGACGATCACTTTCCATCTAGGAACATGTAATTTAGTCAAAAGAATGAAATATGACAAACGAAAAGGAACACCACAAATTAAATTAATATGAGAAGAATGTGAACTGGGAAGTTTAGAGAAATAAGATAGATCAGAACAATGGAAAAAAAATGTTATATACAGTGTAAATGAGCAGAGGTAATTTTCGTGGAATGGCCAAGGAAGAGGCTTTCAAATCCGATGTTTGTTTCTGAAGCAAAACACCAGAAAATAGGGGAGAAATCACAATTCACCCCAGAACCCTTAAACAAATATTACTATAGTGGTAAAAATGGGGTTTTAAGAACCATCAAGGTGACGCTACTATAGCCTAAAAAGACCATTATTTTAGCCACTATGAGCACTACTGAAAACGGCTCCACACCATTATTTGAATCACATAGAAGTCTAGGGCTGCTCCACTGCACTACTCCTCCACAGTGCTACTGCAACTATAGCACAATCTTGACTACTTAGTAAATAAATATTCTGGTCAAAGATAGTCTTCTATAGTACATTTTTGGACGTTGATTATTGATAAAAACAAAAAAATATTTGCAGCCCTACCTTCTCTTTTGTCCCAGACATGATCCTTGAGATCCCAATTGTTTCTCAGCAGTTTTAATGTAATTCAAATCTGAATTTCCATTAAGATCAAAATTGGTTCTCCTGGAAATACTCAATTTTCTGTTATAATAAAAGACAAATACCAAATATATTGCTCGAAACTTTTCAAAATATTATTCAAAACAATTATGACAAACTCAAATCCCAACCAGATTGTGTTAAACAGTGACTATAAAATCACAATCCGAAACTGATAATCACCTGAAAGTTCATCAAAATGCCATCAAAGTATCCCATCACTACCGAAGGTCTTAAGTAAGCCTAGCCCACAATATGTGATTGTTCCCTAGAAGTATTAAAGGAACTAGGTTGCACCTTTCAATGAATATTAAAGGAATCTTCCAAAGAAGAAACATGAAGCTGTATCAACAAGACAGGGTTACAATCTTCAAGCATGTCCACACCAAATGGACAATTTAGAAACACAAGAATCAAGTCCGTTTGATCAAATTATATAGCTAAAATTTGTATTTTCCAAAATCTATTTCAAAAATAACTATCCCCGTATTGCTCTAACACTATGTAAATGAATTCAATTTCGTACACACACACAATAAACAACTAGAAAAATATAATTATTGACAATGCTATGCTGTATGCTTACATTGGACGCCTCTCCAATAGCGGAACCAGCAACTTTCACACCCTCAGTACAAAAATACTTTCTTGGAATTTTGAGGGCGCAGACGCTTGAAATAGTCTTCTTCATCACCCTATTACATCAGCTACAGAGTCAAAGCCCAAAACGGAAGCTCAAATAGGAAGATAGAAAACCACAATTAACACTATAAACCACATTCCCATGCTAGCAAACGAAGAAACAAGAGTGATTGAAAATATTCGAAAAAAAAACATTCATACCTGTTCATTGTGTGAAAAGAGAAATGGTGGAATACAAGAAGAAGGAAGAACACAGGGTTTGATATTTTCGGAACTGGATTTCAAACCATGGGAGGGGCTATGCGAACTGCTTTCGAATTGAACCCACGTCGATACACTGTAAAATCGCGTTAAAGTACGCGTTGCTGCAAATGAAACGTGATTTTGCTTTTCTTTTTTCTTTGTTAAGAACTTGGAGTTAAATTCACGCTTCATCTCTCACTAATCTTCTTTCGACGAATTTTGTTACCTTTTTCTTTTTACAATTTATTATAAATTTTAACATCATGTTATCTATCTGTTAAATTTCTATCTAACAATGATTTTGTCGAAAAAAGAATGAAAAAAACAGCATTATTTTATTACCAATTTTTTGTAAAATAATATTGTATTAATCTTATTTTATTCTTATTTATTTTCTTACCACTTCATTAGAAATTTAATAATGGGTTAAATATGTTTTTCGTCCCTTAAGTATCACACGATTTTGGTTTTAGTCCCTACTCGAAACTTTAATGGTTTTTAGTCCTCGTAGTTTTGAAACTATTAATATTAGTCCTTAAAAATGGACGGCGTTAAGTTTTAGTAGATGTGACAAATGGCGATGCCAGGTTTGATGCCAGCTGCGCTCTACACTCTCTGCCACGTTGCTGGCCAATAAGAATCTCACACTCACGTGGCCATTCTCAGACTGCCGACGACGACGACGGCAAAGATCTAGGTTTTCGCTACACTGCTCCCCCGCCTCTATCTCTCTGCAGGAACTCTACTAAGTCCACTGCAACTCTCAGATCGCCATCTCCTGCCGCGGTCTGATTCTTCCCATTCCACTCCACATTTATCCCATCCATCATTAACTGACTTCGCCGTTGTTTGCAGTGGTGTTTGTAGTTTTTTTTTTTTTGGTATAGGTTGTTTGTAGAGTTTATTGGAGGATTCCACAGCCCCACTCTTATATTCCTTATGGAGCTCTAGCACAAGACTCTACAACGGGTTATTCTTCTTCCTACTTCCATCTCGCTTTTTATATCACTTTCTGCTGCTTCATTCACTTTTTCTCTACTTCAGCTGACAACTCCGAGAAGTTTCTCGAAGCTTCGAAGAAGGGGAACGTTATTCCTCTATACCGTTGCATATTCTCATATCACCTCACTTCAGTGCTAGCTTACCGGTGTCTCGTTAAGGAGGACGAGAGAAATGCTCCTAGTTTTCTATTTGAATCGGTGGAGCTCGGCCAATTTTCTATCATTGTGAGAACGCATTTTTTTTTTAATTTTATTTCAGCTTTTTTAGTAAATTACACTGATAGTTCTGAAGTTTTGTGAGGTTTTGCAACATCGAAACATTTTTGTTGTGTTTTTAAAGGTTTTAATTAACATCCGATGAAAGGTATAATGTGTGATGCTTTTCAAATGAGATTGAAGAAGTTGAGAGTTTTGTGTAATTTACTCTTAAATTTGTCTCTGAATTTGTTGAACTGTGTGCTTAGTCTGTGTTGCTATTGATTAGGGGCGATACAGTGTGGTGGGAGCACAGCCGTGTATGGAGATTGTGGTGAAAGAGAATGTGGTTACTATTATGGACCACATGGAAGGGCGCAAGAGTGAGGAAATTGCAGAGGATCCACTGGTAATTCCTCGAAGGATCATGGAGAAGTGGAGGTCACGTGAGTGTTAGTTTCTTATTGGCCAGCAACGTGGGAGAGAGTGCAGAACGCATCTGGCATCAAACTTGGCATCGTCGTTTGCCACATCTACTAAAACTTAACGCCGTCCATTTTTAAGGACTAATAGTAATAGTTTCAAAACTACGAGGACTAAAAACCATCAAAGTTTTGAGTAGGGACTAAAACTAAAATCATGTGATACTTGAGGACGAAAAACATATTTAACCCTTTAATAAATTAGTTAAATACATAAATAAAAAGGCTATATGGTAAAATACACGAAAAATTGTGTTATAAAAAATTATGAAAGAATGGTAGCCTAGTAAAACAAACTATGTAACTATAAGTGTGATTAGTAAAATAAAATGAAAAACTTGTTGGAAATTAAAAAGTTGAAAAATTGGTAGCCAGTAAAATTGAGATAAAGCATACCAAGTTGATGATTTAAACTAGTGCAAAATTGACCTTTAACGTCACCCCATAGACGTCCGTCCACCAAAACCCCAACGTAAATAATTGACCGGTGGCATAAATGTAAATAATTGAGTATGGAGACGTCCGTCCTAGAGGGGGCTGGACGTCTATAATATAGTAGACGTCCGGCCCCTCTAACAGACGTTCAAAAGGCTGACGGGAGAGTTGAAGATTCAGCCTTTTGAACGTCCATTCTAGAGGGAACCGGACGTCTACTATATTATAGACGTCCAGCCCCTTCAGGACGGACGTTCAAAAGGCTGAAGCAATCAACTCTTCAACTCCACCCATCAGCCTTTTGAACGTCCATCCTGGAGGGGCCGAACGTCTACTATATTATAGACGTCCGACCCCCTCTAGGACGGACGTTGAAAAGGCTGACGGGTGGAGTTGAAGAGTTGATTGTAATAAGAGAGTAAACTAATTTTTTAGATCATGTGAACTAACAAATCAAATTATAACTGAATTTGAAAATATGTGCAAAAAAAGTAAAGCAAAGAACAAAGAAAAATTGAGAATAAGATTTTAAAATAGTGCAAAACTTTATCATAGTAGCCAACGTAGTTAAGCATTCATGTATACTTTGCATAGCAAACTCTGACACTCAATTCAAATCACAAAAAACGGCAACAAAAAAAAATTAAAACTAATTTGTATGGATTATTGTAGAAGAACAAAATATCCTCATTATAAAAAAAAATATGAATTTTAATGGTTAAAAATTGTTACAAATATTTTTTTATGTATTAAATAACTGTTAGAATTATAAAAATGGTGTGTGAGAAAAATACTTTAAATGCTAGTATTTTAGCTAAAAGAAATTTTAAAAGTTTAAAGTTACTACAAAATTTATTTTTATTTTACGATCTTTAATCACATTCTGATTATTAAAAAGCATCACAAAATATATAATTTTTTATCGTTTAAAATTTATTAAATGTTTGAATCCATAAAAAAATACTTAAAATATTTTTAGAGATTTTCAAATTTTCAAAAGCATTATTAATTTTTTTCTGTAATTTTATAACTAGTAATTTATTTTAGAAAATAATGATAATAATATTAATAATTTTATCATATTAGAAAAAGTTGATAGTCTAATGGTATATCAATTAATATTTTAAAATTATCACTATATAAGTATATTGTAAAAATGGATGAATTATTGAAAGTTATTAAAAACAATAACTCATTGACAAATCCAATTTCATATGTCTAACATTCCAAAAATATAGTATAAAACCATATACAAAAATAATCAATATTAATAATACTACATATCAGTTCTACACATAACGAGATACTATTATGGCTGAACGGTCTTACATAATGTCAGAGAATTAAAATCGCACACTAACTACAACTAGACCGAACGATTTACAAAATAAACTTATACCAAACGGTCCTACAAAAGAAGAGGCCAACAACTAACCGAAAGTTCCTAAAGTTCGACCTTCACTTCCACCTCTTCCAGTGCTTCTTCCAGCAACTCTTCTCCTTCTGCTCACATCCACACGGATGATCATTGCAACAGGACATACAACCGAACATACAACACAGACAAGATGATAAATAGGGTAAGCTTATGTAATTTAATTGTTTCAATAAAAGCATACAATATTCGTGATTAAATCAAACAACAACCAAATCATAATTCATACGTCATGGCATACAAAGACTGACCACTTGACTCTGACTGTTTGGACTGTATGAATCGTGTGTAGCTATGATGTTTGTGCACCCGGGTGATGTAGTAACTGGGATACCCTCAACAGCTGCCACCCGAGGTTAACCCGTTCCGTCCAAGTTAACCTTATGGACTAGGACCTCCTTCCATTCTTACACATGGCTTACTCCTCTCTACGTGAGAATGAGTAATCACAGAATATCAGGATAAACGCCTGCTAAGCTTTGCCCACATTCATACTTTACCAATCAATAACCACTTTTTGAGATATTCCTCCCTGGAATACTCTTTCATAACCAAACTATTTCATTCGCATCACATTTCAAATTCTCTTATACTTTATCATCAATACATTCAAATGAAATAAGATCACACTTTCTCATCCTAGCACAAGTCCGAATGGAATAACACTTCTTAGAAACTAACGTGACCGAGCGCTATTTACGAATTTATCTATTTCAATAAACAGACCCTTAAGAGTTCAAACCGGACGCCGCGAAGCCTAGGCCGAGTACTAAGAGTCTAGGCCGAACACCTTTTAAAGACCAAAACTGTTTGACACCAAATACTAATAACTGGTGAGATACTATGAAGAAACGAACGCTATTGAGTTTGGCTGACGACTCTTATTTTAACAACAGTAATAGTAGATTACTGAAATGAGACCGAATGCTTGGTTTAAGACCGAGCCTTGCAGAAACCGTACACTATTGAACGAGCGCTACTGAGACCGAACGCTTGGTCCAAGACCTAGCACTCCTAAACTTATAAAATGAATGAATATATATATATACACACACACACACACACACACACACTTGCACCACACTTATTTTTAATGAAAAATAACGATAACATCGACTTTAAGTAGTATAGTATACATTAACAAAACTGTTTAGGAAACCTAAAGGAGAACTACACTTAGGCTGAACGCTCATTTAAATATATCTAATAATATAAAACGATCTTCATGAACGAAATTCTCTCCAGAAGAAGAATTTAGTTTAGACGGACGCTCAAAGGAAAACTGAACGGTCAACACTGACTCTCGAACGATCACTAATGACACTCGACTATACTACAACATTTACTCAGAATATTGTAGCTTGAAGATCAAACCCTATCTCAACTTAGTTCACACCATTTATCAATCATCAATCCACACGTCCAAACATGCAGTAACACGCATATTTCATACTCATCAAATAATCAAACAAAGTATCATACAAACAAACCAACGTTCAAAACAAGAATCTTAATCAAATTATATAAGCTTCCCTTACCTCTAAACGTAACCGAACGGTCGCAGATGCAGAATATAGCTCACTACTACTAGAGACCTTAGCGT